GTGTGTGGCCAGCTCAGCCCACCAGGGGGCGGGCTGGCTGGCATGTGGATTGAACCGCGGTCCCCAATGCTTTGCCAAGCTTGTTCTAAGTAGGTGCTTTAGACCACTGAGCCATCTCTCCAGCCCCATGTATTGACCTCTTTCGGGAGGGTGTTACCTGTGGTCTGGCCCAGAGAAGATAGGTAGAGTTTTCTGCCTAGCACAGCCACGACACTATGGAGAAAGGGGAGAGTCAAGTGTAGCCCCCAAGGTCCCAGCCATTTGGCTGGCGTGCTTGGATTGCCTCATTACTTTGTCTCCTTAGGCGTTCGAATTCAAGCAAGTTCTGACCTGCTCTGATCAAATACCTAAAGTCCAAGTGCAGCTTGCTAGGGACACTGGCATGGGGAAGATTTTGGAAGCCGCTTTCTGCTGAGATTCTTAGATGGTGCCATGATTCCCAAGCTCAAGAAGGCACCTGGGAATCTCAAAGGGTTTGGGTTGAGCCCTAGCTCTGCCCTTTGCCTGAAACTGAGAGATTGTCTCCTTAGAGCCCCGTGTTCCTCACCTGTTAGAAAGGCAGGATCCAACAGACTGCACTGAGACTTACATCAACTCTTACGTAAAGGACAATGCCCGGAAGTTGGCAATAAAATCCAAATCAACCTTAACTCGGAGCTTCCCTTGGGTGAGAAGCAACTCTACCATTCCAGGGTGGAGACTGCCCTCTGAAATCCAGGCCCTCAAATTAAATCCAGGTTATTTGGCTTATGTGACCCAATTATGAGCCCTCTGTCCCACAGACCTCTGTGGGCATTTCATCTTCTGCCCCTGGGGCCACTACTTGTCAAGGCAAAGTCTGCCCATCTGTGGGGAAGGAGGCTCCCGCTTCTCTGATGAGAAGCAGCCCAACTGGTTGCTGAGTTGTGGAAATAATTAAACTAAGAGAGGGAAAAACACTTCTTTTAAAAACCGGGTTAGGGATGATTGTGCAGGGCGTAGCCTGCCTAATTAGCAAGCTGCGGGCTGAGGGCTGACGGGCCTGTCTCGCCCTGGCCCGTTGGGTCAGGCGGTGCCTGCTCCTCCCCTGCTCCTCCTCCCACAGGTGTGTCTCCCGGCCTTCAGGCTCTGGGTCTCACTCCCTGCTCAGCCGCCCAGGAGGTCATCCACCCTGCAGCCCCAGCCAGCCCGAAGGAGACCCGACAAGTGTCCCGCGATGGAAGCCGCAGACGCCTCCAGGAGCAACGGGGCCAGCCCAGAAGCCAGGGACGCCCGCAGTCCCTCAGGCTCCCACGATGGCCTGCAGAATGGCACCAAGGGTGAGGGCAAGGACCCCAAGACCACCAACGGCCACCACGGCGGAGAGGCAGCCGAAAACAAGAGCCTGGGCAGCGCCCTGAAGGCAGGAGAGGGGAAGAGCGCCCTGTTTTCCGGCAATGAGTGGCGGCGTCCCATCATCCAGTTCGTGGAGTCCGTGGATGACAAGGGCTCCAACTACTTCAGCATGGACTCTGCGGAAGGCAGGAGGTCGCCCTACGCGGGGCTCCAGCTGGGGGCCAAGAAGCCTGCCGTCACTTTCGCTGAGAAGGGGGAGCTGCGCAAGTCCATCTTCTCGGAGCCTCGCAAGCCCTCAGTGTCCATCGTGGAGCCGGGCGAGACCCGGCGGAACAGCTACCCGCGGGCCGAGTCCAGCCACTTGCTGCGGTCCAAGTCCGCCTCGGAGGAGGTGCTGTGCGACTCCTGCATCGGCAACAAGCAGAAGGCTGTCAAGTCCTGCCTGGTGTGCCAGGCCTCCTTCTGCGAGCTGCACCTCAAGCCCCACCTGGAGGGCGCCGCCTTCCGTGACCACCAGCTGCTGGAGCCCATCAGAGACTTCGAGGCCCGCAAGTGCCCCCTGCACGGCAAGACCATGGAGCTCTTCTGTCAAACCGACCAGACCTGCATCTGCTACCTCTGCATGTTCCAGGAGCACAAGAACCACAGCACCGTGACGGTGGAAGAGGCCAAGGCTGAGAAGGAGGTGATGTCTGGGTCCCACTTTCCCTCAGGGGAGTTCCAAGCCCCCACCCCACGCCCCACCCCCACATACCTTGGTCACTAGGGTTTGGGCTTAATCTCCAAGGTGCTTGGCTCTTTTAGAAAATGTTTCTTTGCTCTCTGCACCCCCAGCCTGGAGGGCAGAGGTGACTTCCCAGCCCCTAAGGTCTTGGGAGAGAGACATTTTCTAGATGAGCAAATAGAGGCTCAGAAAGGACTGGGGGCCTGTCCAATGCCTTAGGATAAATTCAAGTCAGGCAGAAAGTAAGACCCAAGTGCACAGAACTCGGTTCTAGGTGCTGCCTATGTGGAATCTCTTTCCCACCCTCCCTTCCTTTTTTTCTTTCTGTTCAAAGAGAATTGTTCCCAAGGTGGGTTGTAGGTGAGGGAGTCATTGGAAGAGTACTGGGGGTCCCTGGAATGTCCCTTTTGCTGGCACCTTGGTTTGCATTTGCAGAACACTGGCTGCTTGTTCTTGCTGCTCTCCAGCCAGTCCATCTACTCCCCTCCCTGCTTTTGTCCTCTCTGGGGGTCCCTGTGCACTTTATGTACCTGCTTACAGGTAAGTGGGACGTGCCTATGCCTGTGGGGGACACCAATGTTGAAGATGGTAGTGTGTGTATGTGTGTGTGGGTATGGGTGTACACTAGTGTGTGTGCTTCCTGTGTGTGTGGTTGTTGCCTGTTTGTGTGAGGCATGCACGGGTCTCCCTAACTCTATGTATGTGGTTGTGCATTATTTCTATGGGGAAGAACAGAGGCAAGTGGAGGCTTGTGGGGGTGGCACACCTGGGGAAGGTGCTCTGAGCTGAGGGCCAGCTGTGGCCGAGGCTTCTTACCTAAGCATGCTGGGCCCACTCTTGCCACAGCTCCACAGCTCCTGGCTGCAGAAGGTTGCCCAGAGCCAACTTTCCTGGTGGTCAGTGCAAGAGACTTGGCCGGCTTAAGAGCTTCTGCAACCCACAGAGTGGGGCAGCACAGGGTCCTTCCCGCTGGGTCTTTTGATCTTGTTGTTCATTCTGGGCCTCTCGCCAACTCCTCTGGGCAGGGAGGGATAAGTTAGAGATGCAATCACCTTTACGATCCTTTCCAAAGTGTCCCAAAAGATATCTCCAGCTTCTCCTGTGTCTAAGCGCATGTTCATACTGACAATACAGATGAGGCAGGGGCCATGGAACTCATGCTTAGGGGACTGACTTGGGAAGCCAAAACAGAAAAAGGGACAGGTCATCTCTGGGCACAGTGACTAAGACAATACAGAGCCTCGGGCTGGGTTTTAGGCTGCATTTTTGCCTATAACTAGCGGTAAGACAGTGGATAAGAATCTTCCATTCTCAGTCTCAGCTTCCTGGGGGTTGGGCTAGATTGTTGATTTTCAAATTATCTCAAGGAACTGTAGGGTTCTTTTTTTTAATATTTATTTATTTTTATTTATTACATTTATTTATTGTGTGTGTGTGTGTGTGTGTGTGTGTGTGGCCAGCTCAGCCCACCAGGGGGCGGGGCTGGCTGGCATGTGGTGCTGGGGGATTGAACCGCGGTCCTTGTGCTTTGCCAAGCTTGTTTCAAGTAGGTGCTTTAGACCACTGAGCCATCTCTCCAGCCCTGTAGGGTTCTTATAAAAGTCTTCTAAGCCTAGGAGTGAAGAGAGAGGAGGAGCAAAGGGGTGGCCAGGAGGCAGAGGTCAGGTTCCCACCTCTACTGCAAGCCAAGGGCACTCATCAACCTGTTCTTACACAGAATTTGGACCCAGATGATATCTGAAACAAGTGCTCATTAAAAAGGTGGTGCTGGTGGGCAGGAGGGTTTCAGGAGCCCCATTTGGAGTCATCAGGAGCTCTGACTGCAAGTTCTGGCTCAGGGGCTGATGTAGGGCTCAGATAGTCCTTGGGGACTCACAGTGTAGGTCAGGAGGCAGAACTCAGCCAAGCAACACTGGAGAGCGCTGTTCCATTTACAGAGAAGGAGCTGTGGGTAGGCAACACATCACAGAGATGGAATGCCTGGCCTGATGGAGCATCAGCCAGCCACACTGGTCTCTCCCTTCACCTTGCAGATGGGGGGACACAGGCCCAGAGAGAGAAAGCAGTCGAGAACCTGGTTCAAGATGGAGCAGCTCCCAAAATCCTCTTCTAACATTTGAGAACACCTCAGGGAAAAGGCACTGAGGGGGCAGGATTTGGAATACATGTGCCTTAGGAAAGATGCCTGACCTACTGGAGTGACATGATGGTGGTACAGCCTGTAGGAGTACGTGTGCGTATACATGACTGTGTGCCTGCGGCACAGAGATAGGCAAGGAAGAGCAGGGCTGAGAGCCAGGATTTTTAGCTGACGTACTTCGTCTAGACCCACATCTGCTGGAATGCTGGATGGGCGACACCAGCACAGAACCAGGGGAGTGGGTTGATGGGCCAGAGTAAATGCATGTATCAGTCCTGGCATCCTATGAGGCAACTCCTGCAGACCCAAACATCATCCCACATACAGTTTTGTGTAAACAGCCTGGGCAGAACCTGCTCCGCAGGCCTGTCTGTGAAGGCCAGGTGGAGTGCCCAGCCTCATCTGGGTGAGTGGCATCAAGTTGCAGATGGCACACCTGGCCCTGAGTGCCCACATCCTCACCTTGGCTGTACCTGCTGACTCTGAGCAGAGGCCATGCTTGAAAAAGGTCCCTTGGTGTCACATTATAGTTCTTTCCTCCTGTTGACCCTAAAGCATGATGTTTCTCCTTCTTCTTCTGATGTCACAAGGAATCCCATAAATGTCCACTGGTCAACCTTTGCCACTGGATGTTCTCCCGACTAGGTCAAGTGGCTCTTTCTTCTATCTCAAGTCCCTCCTGTTGCAGTATATCAAGACACTAGGACCCCCCTCTGGGTGGCCCTGCTCTGAGCTGCGTCTGGCCTGTGACTAGGGTCACAGCACCATTGACATCAATAAGACATGTTCCGATGACACTCAGCTACAAGCTTCACTCTGGAGAGGCTCGGGCTGTGTGCCTTGTCCACTCTCCTCCATTATTTGTCTCAGGTTGTTTCCTTCGCCATGCCGCATGGCTTGGTTTCTTGTTGCCCGTTTCTTTCAGGAAGGTGGACATGGGAAGTCCTGGTCCTGAGGTTTCTGAGTGCTACTTTGGGCATAAAGACCGTTTGAGGCAGTGGGATCGGGGCCTGGGAAAAGGAGCCTGACCAACAGCCAGGGTGCTGTATCCTAGACAATCGCAGGGAGGGCATCTGCTCTGGGACAAGGGGTGACCCAGGAGGTGGGATGACCCATCCAGAGCTGAAGGGAAACAATCAAATAAAAGATCAGAGACAGGGGACAGGGGTAGAAAGTGACTGGCAGGCAGGCGGGGGGCCGATGCCAATGCAGTGTGTATGGAGCCATGCGTGAGCCAGGTGTCACTCTGTGGATTTGCAAAGCTGCAGATGTGGCAGTCTCGTGGGGATGGTGTGGGAGAAGCATTGCACTGGTTCTGTAGAAGGAGAAGCAGGCTCCAAGGTGCCGAGAGTCATACAAGTTCCAGCGCTGGGGAGTGTGGGAGCTGGGATTTCTCCTCACTCTTTTAATCCTTTTTCTACTTGGGATTGGAAAGTTCTCCTTGGGAGGCCCAAGCCCAGAGGCTTCCACACAGCAGCCTTCAGCTGAAATCACTGGATGACTCGTTGAAACAGAGTCCCAGGTCTTGCTGTGCTGATTTTGATTCACGAGATTGGGACCTTGTACACTTACAAGTCTCTCTCAGGGGTTGCAATGTGTAACCAGGGTGGGGACCAGACATCCAGGGTCACCCCAGGAAACCAAGGGAGGTGAGGTGACTTTGCCAGGGCCCATATGACATGGAAAGGCCAGGGTGATGCTTTTTGCCCCAGTTTATATCTTTCCTGACCCGAGGCTGTGGAAAGCAGAGAAAGAGTGAGATTCCAGTCAAAAGGCAGACTGACCCTGGCTGTTTGACATCTGAGTGGAGATGAGGCAAACTCTCCAGCATTTCAGATTCTTATCCAGATAATTACCACATATCTGGGAGTACAAATTTGGCAATTAACTAGCTCATTTGGCAAATGTCACAGCCCTTGGCCCATGTAGTTAAATGTTGGCCCCGGGAAAATCACCGCCAATCTCCCCTTCCTGGGGGCAGCTACAAGTACACCTGTCCTGGTGAACTTCAGATGTTGTCTTCACCCAATGGCCCCGTCCAGGCCTAGGCACCAGCAGGCCATGCCACCCCTCTACTCTCAGGAAAACCTCTGCTCACTCAAGGCCAGAAGATCTTAAGGTAGAGTGGCCCACGCAAGGCCCATCCCAGGCACTAGAGAGTGAGATGAGTGCGGGAGAAAGGAACAAAAGAAGCATTCAGAGACAGGCCTGGGCAGGGCAAAGGGAAAGAAGTGGGGAGGATGAGGAAGTCAGGAGGGAGCTGTGGGCAGGGATGGGCCTGCAGGGAGCTGAGGCCCTGTCAGACACCAGGGCTTGAGCCACATTCCACAGGAGGAGGGAGAACAGGAGGAAGAAAGCTGGGGCCTCAGGAGAGGGAATGGAAAGGGAAAGGGAGGCAGAAGAGTCTCCGAGGGGCAGGGAGCTTGTGTGACTTAGCTTAGCTTAGCTCCCTGAAGGGGAAGTTCTGTTCAGGAGAGCGCAGAGCTCCTGCCCTGGGGGTCCCTCTGAAGGCCACAGGACAGGATGTAAGCGCTGTCCATTTTGTTTCTAACAGTGAAGACTCACACATGCTGTAGAGTCCTTCTAGGTCTTGGTTCTGCATCTGTACAGTGGGGATACCACTCCTGACTTCCACAAGGGGGATTTGCAGATTGGAGGAGATTCCTGGCACACGATAGAGACTCAGCAACTAAAGCACCTGTCCTTCCTTCTCCTAGTACAGCCTTGGGAAGCTTCCTGTGTTCCATTACTTCTTGTACAGGAAGAATTGCCAAGAGCTGAACAGATAGGCAGTAGATCCATAAAGCTCTTATCACAAGCACTCCCAACAGCAATGAGAGAGGACAATTTGAGCAGCACCCATTCCTAGTCCCGGGTTCTCTGTAAGAGCTCACCGTGCCCTGGTCTTGCTAGTCTGGTCTTGCCAGCTGCACTGTGGGCACCAGGCCCCTCCCAGCCTGTGTCTGACTTCCTGAGCGCCCTCAGTAGAGGAGGCCCCATCTCTCCTCATCACTGACCAAGTCTTCCACCCACTGCTGCAGACAGCTCGGCTCCACTTCTGCCCCTGCCTACACCTGTGTCGAGACCAGCTTCTCTTCTCCCCAGGCCTCACCTGGCCTGCTGCGCTTTTCCTATGTCATCCTACACGGGACAGACTCCCAAGGCTCTGGCCCTTCTTTGTCCTTGGCCTAGATGCTTCATGGTTTACACTGTACCAATCCCTGTGCTCAGTTCCTCCTCTCTTCCTCTCAGTCTGCAAGCCCATGGTCACCTAGACAAGACCTTTCCTCACCCACAAGCTGGCCACACAGCTCTGAATACATGTCCCCTGGGTGCCACGGCTCCCTTTGGCACTTGACTCTTTGGTCTCCACCTTCTCTGGTCAAGTCCTTAGCCCACCCTCAACGCCTTTGCCTGTCTCTGTCCTCTCAAGATCTTCCATCCTTCTGTTATCTATGTCTTAAGCTTTTATTTTGTAATCTCACTTTACTGTCTAACCTCCCAGTCTCTGTGATGTCCTCAACTCTGCCCTCTATGTCTGGACTGGTTCCACATGACATCCAGACCTCAGTATAATGACATACACCACCCTTACCACTCAACATCTCCAAGACCTCATCTGGGCACACCTGCCCACTGCCCTTTCTTGCCTATGCCCTCTAACCCGCCTGTCTCTCTGCCTTCTCTTCCAGTGGCTGTGATATTACCCAGCACTGCAACAGGTAATTTCTGGGGTCTTCATGCCCTCAGAGGGAGATTCTCTTCCTGACTCCATGAAACAGATGGGGCTACTAAGGCATGGAAAAATTAAGTACCTAGCAAAGGCCTCCTGCTGGTGACAGGAGTCCAGCTTTGGATTCCCTGTTTGTGCTCTGGTCAGGCTTCTTCCTAGACCCTCTCATAGCTCTCATCTTGGAAAGGTGGCCTATTCTCCCCTCTGTGGTAGGTCTTTACTGGGGTTGGGCCTAGCCTGAGGGTGGGAGGAGGGTGTCTTTGTTTTCTGTCTTCCATTAGAGCTTGTTCTGAGAGTGGTGAAGTAGGGTGGGAAACCCAAGTGCCCACTTTTCTACCCCCGAAGTGGGCTAGAAAGTCTCAGTTACAAAGCAACATTGGCCTTCAGCTGGCTTTCTACTAACATTCCATTTTTAGGATGGGAAATTTGCCTAGAGCAGATCATTGTCCAGCTTCTTGGTGCTTTCTTCCGAGCTTAGGTCCACTAACCATCATGGCTTTCTCGGGGGGCTTTGGGGCTACTGGACCTACCAAGCTGTTTTCTGGGCTGTCTGACTGTCAGCCTCAGGGAAGGTGAGGGCTGAGTGTCCACCACCATGGCAAGGACTTACTGTCTTTCTTCTCCCCCTCTCTCCTCTTTGTCTTCTCTCCAGCCTTGTTCCAAAGACGAGGCCAAGTCATACCCTCATGCTTTGTGTTCCTCTACAGCTGACAACCTGCCATCTCCAGTGATGTCATTTTCCATGCTGGGGGATTCTAGCCTTTATAGGTGGGGAAGATGTTTGCTGAAAATATTCTAGAGTGCTGGTGCTGGGAGAGCCCAGGAATGTGTGGGCATTGAAGGGCCAGCCACGGAGCAGGGGCTCCCTTTCTGGGGAACTCTGTGGTTCCTGCCTCATGCCTTCTGCATGCTTTTGGGCCCCATTTCTAGAAAGGTCAGTGGAGCTCTAGTCCCACTGCACCCAGTTCCTTGGGTGGCTGCAGCTGATTCTCCATGGGCACCCCACAGGTTGGCAGGACGTTTACAGATGTGTGAGTGGTGACACTCCAGGCCCAGCTGCTCACTGCCATTGGAGCTCCCCCTTCTCATGATTTGTGTCTTCTTTCCCTTGACTGATTGTGTGAGTTCTTCAAGTAGATGGCATGAGAAAAGGGTGGGACTCTGTATTCAAAACTCAGTGGCTGTGGGGAGACCCTGAGTGAGCCCAGGTTTTCTTAGATACCTTGGGCTTCCTACTTGTTAGGTGGGACAAACTGGCAGGTGTCTTGGGAGCCCTTAGAGAGGAGCCCCACAGGACTAAAGAGGTGCTTCTTGGACTGGCTTAACGAATCCCCTTTTGCCTCAGGGAAGCTGCCTTTCCCAACATGGCAAGTGTGGACATGTAAGGCTGACATATACATTCTTGATAGTCCTCTTCCCAGCCTTCCCTGGGCCCCAGCACTCTGCATACCCCTGTGCAAGGGTTCCAGAGCTTCTCCTTACCAGACTTCTCCCCCTTCTTGGACTCATTGTCTAGTCTTCTCCTTCCCCAGACCTTGGGTAAAAGTCTCTTTTGCCTAAACTGCAAATGTATTCTCTTTCCTGTAAACAGATTTATAGTTGTGCCTGCCCAGACAGAGTCCACGCTGGCAGCAACCCCAGCTGCTGCTTGCAACACAAGCCTCACGTCATGCTAGAGAAACACTGCACACTGTTACTGCCTTGAGACACTCCCTGGACTGGGCTGTGTCTCTTCCCAATGGCCTCAAGTCCTCCCAAAGGAGCAAGAAACCCATAAATTGTGTTGCTCATGTTGGGTAGAGAAGCCAGGGAGGTCTAGCCCATACAACGCATGGCTAGGATGTCCAACCTAGGGCTCTGAGAAGACAGCAGATGCTGTTTGACTCTCTGCTGGACTCTCGGTGGCTGGTGTGGAGCCTGGCATAGAAGAGGTTCTGGTGAACATGTGCTGAATGAAGGACTGTCTGGAGACTCAGAGCCCTGCCTGAGTATTCATTTTTTGCCCAGCTCCTGGCTCTGTCACTTCTCCTCTCCTTGACTTTGGCATATCTTTGCCTTCAGACGGAGCTGTCACTACAGAAGGAACAGTTGCAGCTCAAGATCATCGAGATTGAGGATGAAGCTGAGAAATGGCAGAAGGAGAAGGACCGCATCAAGGTGAACAGCTCCAGGCCCCCGTGTACCTTTGCCCATATGTGCTGTCTGGGTAAACTGGGGCATGGCTCCTGCCCCAGGTTTCAGCCACAGTGACATCCCACACTCGTTTGCTTTGGATTCTTCTGCCCCCTTTGGCATTCCCACCAGTTACCCTTCTGTTTGGGCCAGGCATCTGGGTGGGGTCTTAACTGCCACCAAGTGTCATCTCAGCAAATAAATATACTAGCCCTGTCCTCCACTGCATCTTTCGATGTCCTCAGATGTCTGCTTACTGGGTGACCCAGCCACCAAGTACATGCTGTTTCTCCTCTACCTGTGCCATTATGGCCAGATGGGTTTGCCATAGCTTGAGTAATGGTGAAGCAGCCTGAAATCATTGGCTTTTGACAGGCCATGAGCATAGCCCGATAATTCACGTTCTGTGTGGTGTTTGATTTTGGTTGAATACACCCTGACATATGGGTCCATGTCTGGGTCCACAGAGTTACTTGGCCAAGGAAAGGTGGCATATGATGATTCACCCAGGGAAAAGAGCTGTGGTAGATAAGAAAGGATGGACTGTGAAAAACCCTACCAGCAGGTGGCACCTCCAGGCGATACCATTGAATGAGATGCACGACAAACAGCATTGCTGAGTTAGGGTACTGGGAGTGCCCTGTCCTTTGACTGAAATCTAAAGATGTGCTCTGCTGTGGTTTTCTTAATGGAATCCTCCTTCATCCCTCTCCTCATATTAGAGCTTCACCACCAATGAGAAGGCCATCCTGGAACAGAACTTCCGGGACTTAGTGCGGGACCTGGAGAAACAGAAGGAGGAAGTAAGGGCTGCACTGGAGCAGCGGGAGCAGGATGCTGTGGACCAAATAAAGATTATTGTGGATGCTCTGGATGAGAGGGCCAAGGTGCTGCATGAGGACAAGCAGACCCGGGATCAGCTACACAGCATCAGTGACTCAGTGCTGTTTCTGCAGGTAAGAGGAGAGCCCTCCACCACTCAAGTCCCCAGTGCCTGTCCTGTCCCATCCCATCCCGTGACATCCCACCCTACTCTACTTCACCCCACCCAACCTTATCCCACCCT